AGTAATCCGTTTGATAAATTACTTTCTTTTTTTTTCTTTTTTTATTCGTTCCTTCCACGTGTCAAGGTTTTTCTTTTTCAGTTAATGAAAAAAACTTTTAATTTCCTTAAGTATTTATATATCCCGACAGGAAAACCGTTTTAAACCACGCACACGCACACGCACACACACACACACGGGAAACTATGTAAATTATATCAAATGAATTTAAATATATCATAACCGTGATACTAAGAAAAAAAAAAATTTTCTTTTTTCATCATCTCGCGTGTAAAATTAAATAGGGTGTGTACGTAAAATAAATTAAATATTAATAATAATAATAATGATAATAATAATAATAATAAGTTTTTAATAAAATTACACGACGAAAAAAAAAATTACACATTTTGAATTCGTGGCCCCATATAAGTGATTATAATTATTTACAAACAACGACAACAAAAAAAAATTAATAATAATAATTTTTATATTAATTAATAAAATTGAAAAGTTGTCGAAAAATTTATGTGACAAACAAACAGACAAACAAACGAGGAGACGAGAGAGTCAAACAAACAATAAATTAATTAATTAGCATGTAATAAATTTAAAAAAAAAAAAATTTTAAGATTTTATTTTTTATGTTTAAAATAAAATCAATAAATGACGAGAAAAAAAATTAAAAATAATTATTAATATTATTAATTGATAATAATAATAATGATGCGTGAGGGGGGGATTTGTTACGATTCTCCCCCCCCCTCCCCTGCCTTGAAAAAAAAAATCAGAAATTTAAGAAGAATTTTAATTATTAATATAGATGATAAAAAATTTCGAAACCTAAAACAATAGATTACGACTATTTTATTATTATTATTATTATTATTATTGTTGTTGTTGTTGTTGTTGTTGTTATTATTATTAATATTACTTTTCAAAACATTAACATTTGATGATTTTAATAATAGAAAAATTATGCAATATCACGACAGGAGAAAAACAAAGAAAAAATAATAATATTATCCAACATGTTTTATTTTTTTAAAAATAAATAAAAAACATATTTTTTTCGTTTCCGGTAAAAATATTTTTTTGTTCGTATTAGAGAGAGAGAGAGAGAGAGAGTGAGAGAGTGAGAGGGGAAGAGGAACGTCAGGATTTATTAGAAAATTTATATATATAAATAAATAAAATAAATGTTGATATTGGTACGCATTCTCTCTCTCACAGGAGAAAGAGTTAAATTTTTTTTTTTTTTTTTTTCTTCTGCTGTTTCTGCTGCTGCTGCTTACCTCTGTGTGCTGTGGTACGGATCGATATGAACGCTATTTGTACTGCGCTCTCGTTCAACATTAGTTACTCAGATGCGTTTCAAAACAAAAAGTGACACAAAAACAACAAAAAAAAAAAAATTTATTTATTTATTTATTTATTTTTGTTATTAATTAATTAATTTATTATTTTACGATTTATATTTATTAATTGGACAAAATAATAATAATAATAATTAAAACGGTGTGTTAAAAAAAATTTTTTGTTTTTATTTTATTTTTCGGGGTTTTTTTCTTTTTTTCTCTTTTCTAATGTGTAATAAAACGTTTATTAATAATATTATTAATAATATAAATAATAATAATAATAATAATAAAACAGGTTAATTTTGGTGCGATAAGTGAATTTATTAAAATAAAGTGTTGTTAAATACGACGTATTTTATTTATTTACATCGATATTATTATTATTATTTAATAATTCGCAAAGGAAAATATTTATCGATAATGTGAGTAGTATTTATGTATGTATGTACATAATGACATAGATGATATGGTTTATTTAATGTAAATATTTATGTACGTTATGTATCCGTTTATTTTTAATTATGGGAAACGACGACGGTACGTGATTTACGGATACGCGTATACGTACGTGACGTCATTATAAACAATTTATTTATTTATTTTATTAACAATTATTTATTACGATAAATAAATAAAACATGCGTGATTGATGATAATAATAATAACTAATTATCAATTTTTTTTGAAAAAAAGAAACCATTTTGAATTTTGTGTTTTCCTTTTTTTTTAGTTTATTAATTTTTTGTTTCATGCACACAACCCGGGGAATGACCCAATTTTTCCTTGGAAAAATTTTCCTACTTATATTTTCTTTCCCCCCATATCCTTTCGTTTTTATTATTATAATGATACAATTGTTAAAATGTTTTTTATTTTTGTGGGGGGGTGGTGGTGAGGGTGGAAGGAAACGTTACGGTCGTAAACGATGCGTAGAAGTTATATAAATAAATAAAGGCGTCAACAAAAGAGTGAAAATATTTGAGGAAAAAAAAAGAAAATCTTTTTTTTTTAAGTGTTTGGTCATAGAGAATATAAACATATGAAGGCATAGATAAAATAAATAAATTTTATTCGATTCCGCGTTTTTTGCGCGGCAAATTTGAAAACGCCCGCATTTTAATTTTTAATTAGTAAAATTTTCTACCCTTTCTCCGCATGCGTCTCCCCAAAAAATAAATAAATTAATTTTTCGGGGAGTCAAATAATTTTAATAAAATTTAATTGTTTGTAATTATAATAATAATAATAAATATTATTATTATTATATATATGGAAAACATTTTAAATATTTAAAGTTAAGATATAAAAATTGTGTTCGAGAGTTTCGACGAGGGTGTTTCCCGCCGTGTTTGTTTAAAAATTTTCAAAAGGATTTTTTTTTTTTTTAACAAAAAAAGGAAAAATCATTATTATTATTATTATTATTACCATTAATATTCATTTTTTTTTTTTTTACGTAATTTACAAAAAAAACGCGACACACTCAAGAATTTATTTATAACTTTTTAACAAACTTTAACGTTTATCAATTTTTTACAAAAAAAAAAAAAAAGGAAAATTTGATTACGTGTTTCGTACTTTAGGGTTACTACGATGAAAATAATAATAATAATAATAATAATAATAATAATAATAATAATAATAATAATAATAACAAAGTGGAAGCATTTAAAATAAAAAGTTAAAAAAAAAAGAAAATTTTTTTAATCAATGACGTTTTCCTTTATCGATTTAATAAAAAAAATTTTCCTTTTTTTATTTATTGAACGAAAACCAAAGACGGAAAAAACGCAACAAACAAACAAACGAAGAAAGACAGTGAGAAAAATTTGTTTTTTTAAAAAAATTAACAAAAAAAAAAAAAGGGCAGATACAAAAATTAAAACTACGTCATAATAATTTTGAAAAACCGGAAATAAATGATGCGGGATTAATTTTTATTGGGATTAACAAATTACCTAAAACGCATTAAAGTCGGCGAAAAAACATTTTGAAAATGTTACTGGCGTAGTAATGGCAGAAAAAGGGAAATTTTTGAAAATAAAAAATAGTACATTCGGGTAAATAAAGTTTAAAACAAAAAAACAAGAAAATAAAATAAAAACAAACAACAACAACACGATAAAAAGTTTTCCCATTTTTTTTTTTTTTTATTTCCTATTTCCTTTAAACGTATATAAAACTTTTATATCCTTTTATCAAAAATAAATGGATTTCATCTTAATAAGAAAACAATAATAAATCGCGGAATTAAATTTGATTTCAAAAAAAAAAAAAAAAACATTTGTCACGGAAAATTAATTATGTCAAAAGCTCAGAGCAGGAAAATGATTAAAAGTAATAATAATAATAATATTATTATATA